AATAATGGCAGGGAAAGACCCATAGCCTACTGCGAACGGCATAGGAGTTTCTGGGTGTTTCTCCCTCATTTCTGCTCCGAGGTCTGATTGTGGCATTTCTTTGAGGTTTAGAATCCAGTATTCCTGTAGCCAATTGTTTCTTTCATGAATTTAATAAAGAACTCTGTCCAAACGGTTAGTGTACGTTTGTGTCCATTCGTTTTTCCTTATTTAACCCAAACGAAAATGAACGGTGGTTGTTTTTTAAAAATGCAAAGTTGAACACCATTTTTTTTTTTATTTGAACTGTACACAAATGCTGCGCATAAAAAAAATAGACTAAATTTCAGATGTTTGTTTATGACTTTTTGCCCCTTTATTAAACATTTAAAATATTCACAACTTAATACAAAAAAAAAAAGTAGATTTTAATGGTTTTCTAAGGCCAAATTAGAACCTGAAAATTATATTTTTCCCGCATATTTTTCGAATTTGTTCGTTTTAAAGTGGACATTTCATGCTTTACCTTACATAGTAGCGCTACAGTTCACGGAGATCATGAAAGCGCGCATGATTATTTTATTTTATTTTACAAAAGCACAACGTTTTCTTGTTATTGTGAGTTTACACAAATAAAAGCATAGTTGCGAATAATGTATTATTATTTTCTGTATGACCAGAAATTATAGAGTATTTTAAGTTGTTTCCACTGTTGATAGGAAAACGCAAGTGTTCGCGCCCGCGTCTCCCTCCCTGCAGCGCGCTCACACTACGCACAAACACTTGGATATGCGTCAAACTCTTGTGTTTATTGTGATAATCTTAGCCCTGTATTATTATTGTCTAACCATTATGAATGACATTTGACGAATTGCTTTATTCCTTTTTTGGATAAAAGCATCTTCTAAATATGTAGCCTAATAAATGTTATAATAATGATAATTATTAGCCTATTATTATTTGCGTATACCAAGGACCCCAAACACACCGCGTCTTCTAAGTCAGGTGACTGTAAATGCGCAAAAACTGTTTCCATTGCAGTTTTGCGAAATATTCCTTTTTCGAATTGCCTGAAAATTGACGTGTTTCCATTGAGCATAATTTCAATTCGCAATTTCAATTTGCGCAATTTGAAGGTAATGGAAATGCGGGTACCCAGCACTTTTGAAAATGCCCTTCCGAATGCGTCTCTGTCCCCCCCACATTTCAAACCAAACTGACGCCCATGACTTGGCACAACAATGCAGTCAGGAAAGTCCCGTTCTCCTGCCAAACCTAGACTCGTCCATCGGATTGCCAGACAGAGAAGTGTGATTTGTCACTCCAGAGAACATGTTTCCACTGCTTCAGAGTCCAGTGGCGGTGGCTTTACACCACTGCATCCGATGCTTTGCATTGCACTTGGCGATGTAAGGCTTGGTTGAAGCTGCTCGGCCATGGAAACCCATTCCATAAAGCTCTACGCACTGTTCTTGAGCTAATCTGAAGGCCACACAAAGTTTGGAGGTCTGTAGCTATTGACTCTGCAGAAAGTTGGCGACTTCTGAGCACCTCAGCATGCGCTGATCCCGCTCTGGGATTTTACGTGGCCTAGCACTTCGTGGCTGAGTTGCTGTTGTTCCCAATTGCTTCCACTTTGTTATAATACCACTAACAGTTGACCGTGGGATATTTAGTAGTGAGGAAATTTCACGAATGGACTTATTGCACAGGTGGCAACCTATCACGGTACCACACTTGAATTCACTGAGCTCCTGAGAGCAACCTATTCTTTCACAAATGTTTGTAAAAGCAGTCTGCATGCCTAGGTGCTTGATTTTATACAACTGTGGCCATGGAAGTGATTGGAACACCTAAATTCAATGATTTGGAGGGGTGTCCCAATACTTTTGGCAATATAGTGTATATATAAATGTGGGGGGTTTATGTTAAATTGCTTTCTCATATCTCATAACTCTTTTGTTTTTCAATTTTATTAGATGCTGAATGTTTTGCAGGAATCACGTGAAAAAAATGAATGATATAATATAGTATCTAGTTTCTAGGCAATTTTGGTTGATTGGTAACACTTTACAATAAGGTTCATTAGTTAACATTAGTTAATGTATTAACTAACATGAACTAACCCTGAGCAATACATTTGTTACTGTATTTGTTCATCTTTGTTAACGTTAGTTAATAAAAATACAACTGTTCATTGTTTGTTCAACGTAGTTCACATTGGATTAACTAATGTTAACAAGATTTTAATAAAGCATTAGTAAATGTTTAAAATAACATTAACAAAGATTAATAAATGCTGTATAAGAGCAGTTCATTATTAGTTCATGCTAACTAATGTTGTTAACTAATGTTAACTAATGAACCTTATTGTAAAGTGTTACCGGTTGATTTGGCACTATCTATGGGTGCATGCAAATCCATTATAAAGTACATTTACCTAGCAGATTAAGCTCTCTTGGTGTAGTTTTATGACAGACCCTTATATTTTATATGCTGGGAACTTGGTCCAAAAGCAGAGGTGTTCAGATTTTCTGACATTATTGTCAATGAAATGGTTAGATTTACATATTAAACAAAGGTGGGTAAACTGACAACTTAAATACATGAGGACAATGAAATTACTGTGTTGCTTGAGAAAATGTACAATATACAGTTAAATGTGACAAAATGACATTCTGCGATTGGTGCATTTTTTTTTATTGAAGAAAACGTTTCAAATCTTCAAAGAATTGAACACAAACATTTTACACAAAATAAGCAGTTAAAAAAAAGACATTTAGCAGCTTAAACGAGGAATTCAAAGCAGAATGACAATTAAATTCACTGATACAAATAGAAAAACAAGCATGTTTGTTTGTCCTAAAAATATATATTTTTTTTTTATAAGACATTTGACCACTAAGCGTTTGGCATAATCCGAAGAATGGCAAGAAAGGAACTCCAAACTTCACAAAGCGAATCAAACATCCCGCTGCCAGCAAAATCCACAGGATACTGTCAAAATGTTAAGACAAACTGGAGGGCGAGTGAGAACCACAAACTGGAGATGCAAACGTGTAAAAAACTAAAAGAGATGAGATGTGTGAACATGCACAGGTGCACCATACGGCCCTCCTGATCAGCACAGACCCCATTGGTTAAAAACAAAATGTTAATTCAAATTCTACTGACTTATATCAATCACTTTAACGACCATATCTTAAAATCCTTACAAATGCATCCATTGATGTTTTTAAATGGGTCATATCATGTCATATATATTTGCTTCATCTTTTGAGGAACAAAGTGGGAACTGCATGAGGTTCTCTAGGTCATGAAAATGTAATCATAAAAACATAAAATCAAAATAAATACTTTTAAAATAATTCAAATAAAGCACTTTAAGGATATATTAAATTGTGTATTGTTGTTATTTTTGTTGTTAATATTATTGAAATATTACCTTAAAATCTTAGAGGATACTTCAAATAAATATTTTAGGTCAAAGGGATTCAGCTGACAAATACGTTTGGGAATAGCCTACTATATAACTTTTAGGAATCAAAACTTCCTCCCCAGTCCAAAAACAACATTTATTGAAACTAAACATCCACAACTTTCTGACAACAGACAGATGAATACATTATTTACACATCAATGATGTCTACTGTGTGAGCCAAAACTTGCAAAGAATGTGCCATTAAGAAAAAGCCAAAAATACCCAAAAGCTTGTATGTATGAGCCGAGCAAAGCACAATGTTTGACAGGGGTTTCTATGAGGTCTTATACATATAAAGATCAGGAAAAGGTTGGAAAACGGTGATGAAAAATCAAAACGAGACTATTTTGGAAAGGGAAAAAAGTGAAATGGTAGTGGAAAAGTATGATATGACCCCTTCAAAATCTCTTTCTGCATCACAAATGCAAGTTATTTCTCATTTAATCTTGATAATGCCAAATAGTGCAACATTTGATTGATGCGAGCACTTAAGCGTTATATGATGGAAACTCGACTGCAAAGTTTGCATTCCATTGAAGATGGATTCAACGATCTGTGCTAAACACTTGTCTGTTCAGCCAAATTGCTCATAGTAATGAAATAAGCTCTATTGATTAGAAGACATTTGTCGAGGGAGATAAACCCCTTCACCAGCTGCACCCATCTCTCCAGCCCTCCCTCTCTCTCTCTCTCTCCCTCCCTCTCGTCTGTATCCTCGCTTCTCTCTTGCACTCTCGCTTTCCTCTTCCTTCTCCTCTCAAGTCTCTTTGTCAAGTCTAAACATATATGCCACCGCTCCGCCTACTTCCTTCCGCAGCGCTATTAATCAAGCACAGGTTAACACTCTGTTAACAGGGGGTGAATGTGGGGTCACGTTCAGAGGAGCTGTGAAGGGAGCGCATGAACACAGCCCGGTTTAGTTCCACCGCTTCAGCAAGAGCTGCCGAATTCCCTGCTTGGATGTTACAGCAAATACTGTCCCACCATCAAAGCTGCCTCTGCAAATACCTTTCTTCTAGAAAGTTAGGAAACGAACTTCGGTCTTGGCGTGAAACAAGTCTTTCCTTTGTTTTCTACCGTGCACGCATGTGCCCTCAACGCTCACCTTTTTGCATCTACCTAGAGCATCACGTTTCTTATCTGGTTGCTGCTCAGAAACAATAAATTAAGAGTTCAATCACAAGACATACTGCTTCAGAAATCACGCAGAGGACCGCAAAGAAAAATGACGCTTGCATTGGTTGTAAATCAGGACACATCATGTACATTCACAAGCTTTTAGTCCCTTTGTCGTGTGTTTCGAGATTATGAGGTTGCTTTGCTCACCTCAGCATACTGCATTGACATTAGGCACTTTGAATGCATTCACATGTACAAATATAGACAGCACTATCACATCATTTGATAGTCTGGGTATAAAAATACAATCTTAAAATCTTTGGTTTTGTACAAACTGGAATCGTACTTTTTGACTTTTCCCCCTCATTCAGAGAGTCTTTGGGAAAGGCTCTTTGCGATACATCGGTTTCTGTTTGGACTGAAGGGTGCAACGACACCTCGTGGTTCCCTTCTGATGCATCAAATGGCTGAGATGAAACGTTTTTGATAGTGTCAACCGGTCAGAAACGCATGTTAGTACGTTTAAAGCCTCACAAATTAAGCAGAAGTTGCCCTCCAAACTGGTGTTAGCAATGGCCATCTTATTTCAGAAAACAGCACATGAACAAAAAACCCACTGGAGCTGTTTTACACTGAGCCCGGTTCATGTCACTCGAGCATCGGTGCACATTGGGGAAGTGAGACAATTGCGAAACAACTTCATCTCCCTTACGACAATGCAATGATTCAGCTCATCTTTTTCACCATCTCTCAGTTGCACGGTAGCCACGTGGAGTAGGTTTGCTGATGGCAGGTGAAGACCGGCTGCACTTGGGCAATGTAATAATTGCTGAAGTTACCGTCTGCTACATAAGGGGCAGGTTGGTAATAGCAAGTGACATTGGCCACGTTGGGTATGACGTTCTGCTCGGCCAGCACACGCACCGCCAGCATGGCGATCAACCCTAAGGCCTGTCGCCGCTCGTGTCCCATCAGACACACCGTGCTCTCGTTCACCACCCCGTGCAGAGTCGTCAGATAATCGTACTTGCGGTCCTCCAAGCCCACAAAGTGGTTCTGGAGGTAAGACTCCAGCTTGCGCTGCTGTTCGCTGATGTCCGAGAAGTCGATAAAGAAGCGGGAGCACATGTAGCGCTGGAGAGACTTCATCTCCGACTCGGAGGCGGCGCGAAAACCCCTCACCAGAAGATGGCAGTACTTCAGCAGGCCTCCTCCTCGGATCTCCTCGGGGTTCCTCGTGCAGATCACCTTGTTGCGCAAGTGGTCCAATGCGGCGCCGAAGTCTCCGTACACGCTCTCGCCGATGATGGTGGGGTGAAACGTTTTGGCCATGGGGTTCTCGGAGCACTCGTAGAAAAGAAGCAGAGAGTCTAGCTTGATCTGGAAAGAATCGACACTGAACTCGAACTGCCGGCGCAAAGAGTCCACGAACTTGAGCTCTACATTTTTGCCCCGGTTGTTGGAGAGAGAGATGAGACTCCAGCGGTCCGAATCATTGCACACTTTCACCATCTTCTGCACATATGCCTCCTGCACAAAAAGACAAGGAATCGTTGTGAGATCATCGTTTTATTATTATTCAAATAGAATTGCATCAAATACATTCAAATACACATCGTTTGCCATATCAGTTCTCCATAATTTCCTGTCGCAGGAGATCTAAGAGGCTGAGAACCTGCTCGATTGGCTTTAACCTGCTTTAGAGCAATCCTCTTACCGACAGAAAACCAACCTTTCACCAGCCTATCAGTAAACTACTCTAATTGCATTTCTACTGAATGTCCCTGGAGACTATAGGGATCCATGCAGATAATCTTAAATTACACACTGTAAAAACTAAATCACAAACAAAACACATGAACCAAAAAGTCAAGCAGTGAAAGCTGCTTCTTTATTGGCATTGATGGTCAGGCCCTAAAGAACCTTTCAGTGATCCTAAAGTTTAGGGAACCAAAAATGGTTCTTCTATCTATGGCATCACTGCGAAAAACTCCATTTTGGAATCTTTATTTTAAAGAGTGTAAATATAATGGAATGAATATGACTAGTGACTCTTTATAATGCATGTTATATTTTTAGTGTTTTATTGATTATTTATTTGTTAGGCCTATACTACAAAAAAAGAATTTTTACAGACACACACACAAATTATGCATGGAATTATGAGCTCATTAATTTAGGAGGCTGATTGATATTTTACATTTGTAGGCTACTTTTAAAAAAAAATGCTTAACTGACAACTGTAAATTAGATTGAAGCTTCAAAGAAATTGTGAGCACCTAAAACATAAACGTTTCCTTCTACAAATATAGCTATATTTGAAGCTGAAATTTTCAATTAATAAACTACTCTCATGAATCACTCACCTTCAGGGTCAACGGTGTGATTTTCTCTTTGTTGACCCCATCAGGTAAAAAGTCCAACAGACAGTCCAGCACTATGTTCTTGACGATCTGAAACTCCGTCTCTCCCTTCAGGTCCACGCAGAATATGAGGTCCAGGTCCTTGTAGCCGAGCCCGCTGTCCCCGAGCAGGACGTGGCTGGCGGCGGACCCGTTGAGCCGCGTGTCCCGCACATGGATGCCCTGCTCCCGCATGCGCCCCCGCACCGCGGTCACGATCTCCCGCGGCTTCATCTGCAGCGTGGGGAAGTTTCCTCGGCCGTGGATCGGGATGCTCTCCGTCAGGATGAGGTCCAGGCGCTGGACCTGCTCCCAGCTTAACACGCTAAAGTTCGTGCTGTCCGTGTTTGCGTCCGAAACTCTGTCCTCTTCAGCCATCGTCGGGTCTGTCTGAGGACTTAGAGGAGTGTGTTCGAGAGATCTGGAGATGTTATGAGGAGAGTTGAGGTGCATCACAGAGGAGACGCATAATGCGCTCGAGACTCGACTGAGGTCTGTCCTTCTGATGTGAAGAGCGTCATGCGTCCACAAAGCGTTTGAGAGTGTGTGTGGTGTGTGTGTAGTATGACAGCAGTGCAGAGGCTTTCTGTGCGCCTCAGGTCACGCCTATCACACACACACACACACACACACACACACACACACACACACACACACACCACTGTCACAGCAGCAACCCAATGAGACGCGTCTCTCCACAGCTGTGCGCTCAAACGCACATTTAGACCAACACATTCTCAGGTCCGGGGACCCCCGGGGGATCGCGTGGGAGTGCTAGGGACTAAGTTTAGAGAAAATCGATAAATAAAATCGATAACGTTAAAATAATGAATCTTACAGAAGGCTACAGTATAATGATGAGTGACTTAATAGAAACGAAATATTTTCAGACATATTTATAATATTTTTTTCCTCAATATAAATTGGGTCTTTGGATATAGACATAGATGCCTTTTAAATTTTAGGATGGGATCCTCATCTTAAAGACTGAAAGCCCCTGATTTAGCACACAGACACACACTAGCCTAATAAATAAGTAAATAATCTCATAATTTCACAATTACTTCCATTGTCTTAGAAAGGATTAAAGGTTGCAATTTAGTAGCCTAATATTTATATATAAATATAATATATATTAATATAAATAATAGTTTTTTAATAAAATAATTATCTTATTAATAAATTGAATAACAGTTACAATTATAATCCAGAAATTCCAGTGCTTTAGTAGTCAACACAAAATAGGCTAAGTGTACTTCGCTAAAGCATGATAATAGATCATTAAAATGATTATTTAAAATATAAAGTAAAAACTTTTTTTTTATTATTATTACAAATTGTACTATTTAAAACTTGTTCACCCACAATGTTTAATTCTGTCATCATTTACTCACCCTCAAGTTGTTCCAAACCTGTATAAATGTCTTATTTCTTCTGCTGAACACAAAAGAAGATATATTGAAGAATGTTAAACCAAACAGTTGATGGACCCCACTGACTTCTATAGTGTGGGGGGAAAGTGCACATCACACAATTAAGGGCACTTCTTTTTCACAAGACAGACAGACAGACAGACAGACAGACAGACAGCTTGTTTGAAAGTACAATAAAACCAGTAATGCAGCTGAAAATGCAATAAAGCCATTCATCAATAGCACATCTGCACCTGAGAAGATTAAACAGTTCTGGAAGAAAGTCCCAACAAATTGAAGTGTCAGACTCAGGACGTTTGGTGTCTTTTATTGCCCTCTAGGGACGTGATAGAAAAGCGTCTTGAACAATAAATTACTCTTTCCAGCTGTAGACAACATTCAGCATTCATAAGCGTTCTGTTATGAACACCAGCGAGTGTCATGTCCAGGATTCATAACCTGAAGCCTGAGGTCTGAGTCTCCAGCTCATGTCAGAGTGGGGCAGCTGTCAGTCAGGATTCCTCCGCGGACACAAAGCCCTGCGTCACTGCACTTACCCAGCCCTTTAAATCGCTCTGATCCCATTTAGGCTAACACAGGCTAAACCCCGCGAGCATGACCAGTACACCTACTGTACAATCATAACCTATTCCTGACCACTAACCCATATTCATATCTGTACTCATCCTCTCGCAAGAAAGACACCGATAAATGATGACAAAAATCTCTCTATCTATCTATCTATCTATCTATCTATCTATCTATCTATCTATCTATCTATCTATCTATCTATCTATCTATCTATCTATCTATCTATCTATCTGTCTGTCTGTCTGTCTGTCTGTATGTCTGTCTGTCTGTCTGTCTGTCTGTCTGTCTATCTATCTATCTATCTATCTATCTATCTATCTATCTATCTATCTATCTATCTATCTGTCTGTCTGTCTGTCTGTCTGTCTGTCTGTCTGTCTGTCTGTCTGTCTGTCTGTCTGTCTGTCTATCTATCTATCTATCTATCTATCTATCTATCTATCTGTCTGTCTATCTGTCTGTCTGTCTGTCTGTCTGTCTATATGTCTGTATGTCTGTCTGTCTGTCTGTCTATCTATCTATCTATCTGTCTGTCTGTCTGTCTGTCTGTCTGTCTGTCTATATGTCTGTATGTCTGTCTGTCTGTCTGTCTATGTATCTATCTGTCTATCTGTCTGTCTGTCTGTCTGTCTGTCTGTCTGTCTGTCTATATGTCTGTATGTCTGTCTGTCTGTCTGTCTATCTATCTATCTGTCTGTCTGTCTGTCTGTCTGTCTATCTATCTATCTATCTATCTATCTGTCTGTCTGTCTGTCTGTCTGTCTGTCTGTCTGTCTGTCTGTCTGTCTGTCTATATGTCTGTATGTTTGTCTGTCTGTCTGTCTATGTATCTATCTGTCTATCTATCTGTCTATCTGTCTGTCTGTCTGTCTGTCTGTCTGTCTATATGTCTGTATGTCTGTCTGTCTGTCTATCTATCTATCTGTCTGTCTGTCTGTCTGTCTGTCTGTCTATATGTCTGTCTGTCTGTCTATCTATCTATCTATCTATCTATCTATCTATCTATCTATCTATCTATCTATCTATCTATCTATCTATCTATTTTTGTTAATGAGTACCGCTAGATGATTCACACCAAATTCTGCGTGAACTGTTTTCTTTCCATACTAAAGAAAAGTCCCAGATGGAAATCCCATTGTACTGAGTATTTGTCATGGTCATGTTCTGTTTCTTTGTCTAGTCGTAGGTTTCCTTGTTACTGTTTTGCCCGTGTTGGAGTTCATCTTTAGTTGTAGTCACACACCTGTTCTCTGTTTCTTTGAGTATCATCCTCTGTGTATATGAGTGTATATGGTCTGGTCTCGTGTTAATATTATGTTCATTATCGCCTGATTTATCTTTAAAGTTATCCGTTCATTCTGTGTCCCGCATCTCTCTCTTGGATTCAACCAGATATATCAATATATTTTCGTGGTATTCCAAGAACCTAAAAGCAGTAGGGGTGTAACAATATATCGTGTCACAATATATCGCAATACAAAAATACAACAATATGTATCGTGGATAGTGGCAATATATATTGTGTGTAGTTCACCCAAAATGAAAATTTCTGTGTGTGGAAAAAATCCAACTTTACAGAGTTTGTTTCAGTACCACATTAAACTATTATATACAGTATAATGTTGAATATAATGTAGGCTATAATAATGCAATGGGGGATATGTGTGGGTCCTGATAATGCCAAATGTCTGATGTTACCAGTAAAAAGTGGCTACATTATTTTAAATGTATCTAGTCGTTGACAGAGTGCTAGCATATTCGTCTAAAGAATCATTAATATTTTTATTCTGATGTCATCATTGTCCTGTGCATTGGGTTTCCAGCACCAAGTCCAAGCCTTTTCATTTACACCCCCAATGTAATACCAGATTTTCCATTTTAATCAACAGTTCATTTTTTGTTAACCTTTTGTATAATGTCTTGGAGTATCACTATAATATCATATCGTGAGTTCAGCATCGTGACATGTATCGAATCATGACATGAGGGTGTCGATACACCCCTAAAAAGTAGGCTATGTCACGGAATTGCCATGGTACATGTCCAAAAACCCCTCACATGGTCCCAACCGCTTGCCCACAAGTACTGCAGCTTTCAATAAGTGACTCAGTCCTGACCGGGCCAGAAGTCTGATCTGTCCAGACAAGAATTGTGTCTCCGCAGCAGTAAACACTTCATTTACTGGGACAAGCCACATCTCTGAGTCACTCCGCTGACAAACACTCGCATCCTAATAAACAAAAAGAGATCGCAGCTGACAACTTCACAAATCAAACCAAACGTGTTTTCTGTTGAACTCTTTATCTGAAATAATCACCACGAGCTGTCAGACATCCACTGCTGTTGACACGGCAAGAGATTGCTTTCACTCTCAGAAAAAAAAGGTAGCCTACAAAATCTGTATTTAAAGAAACCTGGTCTTCACCAGTCATCACCAACTGGTAAATGAAACAAACATGAGTTTCAGTGCATTATGTTTACAATCAAGTTAAATGTAACTTCAGAAACCCACACTATTATTGAAAGAGCTCTAGAGGAACCGAATTATAAATAAATAAGAATCATGTCTATGGTATTTGAATTTGCTCACTTCATGTGTTTTTACTGATCACTCAAACCTTTGATGATGTTTAAGTCTCATATGAGTGTAAATGCATTGTACATTAGCATTGTTATTGAAATTAACTATAGCATATAGTGTGAAAGTCATATTTATATCCCTATTGGAGATAAACATTTATGTGTTTAATAAATCAAGATGCATGAAGTGATCAGGCGTAAATAGGCGCTAAACCACATATACATTAAACTGTACAAAATTACATAACATTGAAAGAAAATTACTAACACTATTTACACAATTTACACTTTTAGTGATCAGGCCTGTGGTGTTTAAACCTCCAGTTGCTTAGTTCAGTTATTATTATATTATATTATGTTAAGCATTTTTGTTCTTTCCTTTATTTTGTGTATAAAACACTGGTGATTTATGATAGTGGTGTCTGTTGCACTCGAGGTTCTTCTCGAGGTTTTTGTTCTGCTTCATCCTTTTCTTCTGTCTGTATGTGTAGCCTTCATATAAAACATGTGCCCAGATATTTGCCTGAATGTTTTGACTGAATGCATATTTTTTAAATACAATTGGCTCACTGTAGTACATGGATGCAGCAGAGAAATAAACATTACAGTTAGAATGCGTTATTTGTCCTCGGGTTTGACTGAATACGTGAGACATAACTTTTGCTTAGTTTTGTTTTAGGAGAATACCAGAGTGAAAGTCATTACATAATTTACATTCCCTGCCGAGTTTATTTATTCAGGTCATGTCAGGTCCTTAAATAATTGATCTTGTTCATACTTAACATACAGAGTAAACTATACGTGAGGCATTCACTGTGCGCCAAAAAGAACAGTACGGAAATAATAAAAAAAAGGTGTCAACTTCAATTTATTTATTTTTTGACATCATCATACTGATTTACAGTGTAAGACAAACCAACTAATTCCACAAAACATCTCATACGTAATTCATCAGATACATTACTAATATTCTCAGGTG